TGTTGGCGGGGGGGGGGGAGTCAATGCTTCGAAACGTGTTCGGTTGTGCACGATAGCAATTCACAATGTCATGTCTTGTTAATAATCTCTCTCTCTTTCTCTATCGCTCTATCTCTCTATCTGCCTCTCCCGCTCTCCCTTTCTCCCTCTCCCCTCTCCTTCTCCCTCTCCCTCCCCTTCTCCCTCTCTCTCCTCCTTTCTCCTTCTCTCTCTCTCTCTATCTGTATCTCCTCTCTTTCTCTCACTTATCTCTTCTCTCTCTTGTTCGTCTCTCTCTCTCTCTCTTTCTGCTCTCGCTCTCTCTCTCTCTTCGAGAAGGGGAGGGAGAGGGAGAAGGAGAGGGGAGAGAGAGAAAGGGAGAGCGGGAGAGGCAGATAGAGAGATAGAGCGATAGAGAAAGAGAGAGAGATTATTAACAAGACATGACATTGTGAATTGCTATCGTGCACAACCGAACACGTTTCGAAGCATTGACTCCCCCCCCCCCGTCAATCGACGCTCGCTCGCACGCGTGCTGCCCCCTACCTTCATCAGCTTGACTCTCGCCGACGCGTCGACGCTGGTCGGCTTGACGAACGTGAAAGAGGGCGCCGCTTTGTTCGGATAGCTCTTCGGGAATCCGAGGACGAGCTTAACGACATGCTTGCCACTGGTCGCAGTAACAGTGCACGAGCCCGTGCTGGCATCCATCTATAGGTGTGACGAAGAGCAGTGTTACACGCACGCACGCACGCACGCACGCACGCACGCACGCACGCACGCACGCACGCNGGCCGGCGCCGCGCCCCTCTTTTTTACCACAAAAAGGTGAAAAAAACCCCCCCCCTTACACACGCCGCAGCGGCGCGACGGCGACGCACGAAACACACAGCACAACACACACACACACGACAACACACACAGCATACAGCAACACACACAACACACACACACATTTTCTTATATTGTCTTCCATAAAAAATCTTGCTTTAGCGGCTAGTTTTTCTGATTAAGTTTTACTTATTATATGATGTAAATTCGTTATTTAAAAACCTTAGAAATGGTGCAAAGAGGGCGTCCGCAGGCGTCCGGGGGGACGGATCTGATACTGAAAATTTTTTGCATTCTAGCATCAAATTACTGCCCCCCCCGCTCAGATGCTTCTCAGAATGCACAATTTAAAAAATAATAATTTGGGGCAGGTCCCCCCCCTAAGTGGCTTCGGCCACCTTTTTTTTTAAAACACCAGAAAAAGGGTAGTAGAAAAAAGTGCCTTTACTTCTTCCTGGACACCCCCTTTTCAAAATCCTGGGATCGCCCCTGACCCCAAGCTGGAGTGAGCTCAGTGTCAATGACACTTTCATTAATTTAAGAATTATTGTTATATAGTGTAGTTAAGTACAACTAGCCCCGTGATATAGTTTTTTTGTTGAGCGCGTGTGCGTGTTTCGTTAACGAGCAGTGATCGTGCGTGTAACTCGGTGTTTGTCTTTGGTGATCGCTGAGATGTAATCGGTTTTCTTTGATGATCGGCTGCGGTACGCAGTTCACGCCCATCCGTGTGTAACTCGTGTTTGTCATTTTGATGATCGCGTGTGTAACGTCGTGTTTTGTCTTTGGTGATCGCGTGTGTAACTCGTGCTTTGTCTTTGTGATCACGTGTGTAACTCTGTGTGTTGCTCTTTTGGTTGATCGCGTCTGTGTAACTCCGTGTTTTTCGTTTGGTGACGGTGCGTAACTCGTGTTGTCTTTTGGTGATCGCGTGTGTAACTCGTCGTTTGTCTTTGGTGATCGAGTGTGGTACTCGTGTTTGTTTTGATGATCGCGTGTGTAACTCGTGTTTGTTCTTTGGTGATCGCCCGTGGTTGTAACTTGTGTTTGTCTTTGGTGTCGCTGTGTTTAACTCCTGTGTTTGTCTTTGGTGATCGACGTGTGTAAACTGTTTGTTTGTCTTATGTGTCGCGTGTGTGAATCGTGTTCGTCTTTGGTGATCGCGTGTGTAACTCGGTGTTATGTCTTTGGTGATCGCCGTTGTAACTCGTGTTTGTCTTGTGGTGATCGGTGTGTAATCGTGTGTCTTTGGTTGATCGCGTGTGTAACTCGTGTTGTCTTTGGTGATTCGCCGTGTGTAACTCGTGTTTGGTCTTTGGTGAGGGCGCTTGTTGGTAACTCGTGTTGTCTTTTGGTGACGCGTTAGTGTAACTGTGTTTGTCCTTTGATGATCGCGTCGTTGTATCGTGCTTCTTGTCCTTGATGGATCGCGTTGGTGTAACTTCGCCTGTTTGTCTTTGCATGATCGCGTGTGTAACTCGCGTGTTGTGTCTTTGGTGATCGGCGTGTTTGAACTGCGTGTTTGTCTTTGGTGATCGCGTGTGTAACCTTCGTGTTTGTCTTTGTGTGATCGCGGTTGTAACTCGTGTTTGTCTTTGGTGTCGCGTGTGTAACTTCGTGTTTTGGTCTTTGTGTGATCGCGTGTGTAACTCCGCCTGTTTGTCTTTGGTGATCGCCCCGGTGATGTCACTCGTGGTTTGTCTTTGATGATCAGCGTGTGTAAATCAGTGGTTTGTCTTTGATGATCGCGTGTGTAACTCGTGTTGCTTTGGTGATCGCCGTTGTGTGTATAACTCGTGTTTGTCATTTGGTTGGATCGGCGCGTGTTAACTGTGTTTGTCTTTGGTGATCGCGGGTGTTAACTCGTGTTTGTCTTTGATGATCGCGTGTGTAACTCTGTTTGTCTTGATGATCGCGTGTGTACTCGTGTTTGTCTTTTGGTGATCGCGTGGTGTAACTCGTGTTGTCTTTGGTGATCGTTGTGTAACTCGTTGGGTTTGTCTTGAGATCGCGTGTGTAACTCTTTTGTTTGTCTTCGGTGATCGCGTGTGTAACTCGTGTTTGTCTTTGATGGATCGCGTGTGTAACTCGTGGTTTAGTCTTTGGTTGATTGCGTGCTGTAACTCGTGTTTGTCTTTGGTGATCGCGTGCGTAAACTCGTGTTTGTCTTTTGGTGATCGCTGGTTTAACTCGTGTTTGTCTTTGTGTTTTATCGCGTGCGTAACTGTGTTTGTCTTTGCGTGATCGAGTGTGTAACTCGCCTGTTTGTCTTTGGTGATCCGCGTGTGTTACTCGCCGCACTTTGTTTGTCTTTGGTGATCGGTGTGTTAACTTCGTGTTTGTCTTTTTGATTGATCGCTGTGTGTAACTCGTGTTTGTCTTTGGTGATCGCGTGTGTAACTCGTGGTTGTCTTTGATGATCGCGTGTGTAATCGGTGTTTGTCTTTGTCGTTACAGTTGCGGACACCTCCAGTGTGCCGGCGAATTTTTAAGGCGTGAAGCCACTAAGCGGCCATCGCACGAGTTCGTTCACTTAGTTGGGGTAGCGTAAACTACGGCCGATGCCCTCGCTGGGGGGGTAGACGATGTGGGCGTTGTTAGTGGGTAGGGTGCGGATGGGGCAATGGTGTTATAGTGGGTGGGGGGGGATGGGGATGGGTGGGTGTAGTAGGGTGGTGGGATGGGGTGGCCCGGTGTAGTAGGGTAGGGTGGGATGGGGTGCTGCTGCGAGGTAGGGTAGGGTGGGATGTGATGGCTTGGGTGGGGTAGATAATGTGGGGGTGTAGGTAGGATTTGGGTGGTATGGGTGGGGTGGGTAGACGAGTGTGGGGGTAGTAGGTTAGGACTAGGGTGCGGATGGGGTGGGGTGGGGTAGACGATGTTGGGTGTAGTAGGGTGGGTGGGGGTGGGGTGCTGTGGGGGTAGGGTAGGGTGCGGAATGGGTGGGGTGGTAGATAATGTGGGTGTAGATAGGGTTAGGGTAGGGATGCTACGAATGCAGGAACCTGTAGCCGTGTGGGGAGGGGGTCACGTGTGTACAGCTAGAGGGGGGGGTGGTGTAACCAGGTCGTGCCACGTGCGCGCGGGGGGAGTGGGAACAGCGACTCGACACTTACGCGCTGCCACTTGTTTCAGATCGCGTATCAGTCATCGAGGGGAAAGCGATCGCGTGCGGGGGTCGTGTGCGGGGCGCCGCCGCTGCCGCGCCCCACTCTCCGCCATCGACGACAACGACGGGCCTTCAACTTACCGGAACCACCGGCGCCACCTGGCGACGACAACCGCAGTCTACCGTACTCCTGCGTTTTGGATTTTTCTCGATTTCGGCGCCGACAGCGGCGCCCCCTAGTGTATTCCTCCCCGACCCTCTCGATGCTTCCATCGCCATCGACACATTCTTCCTCCTTGCTGTCTTTTTCTGAGACACGCCCTCCCCCGACCCCTTATCGCGTGCGATACGTATGACGTAGCGCCACCCCCATATATCCCCCCCCCATACATCGTGTTTGAATGCAACTTTTATGAGAGCCTGCGTGCCCCACGGCTCAAAGCTCGCGCGGGCACAGGCACGAGTGAATGTCAAGACAAAATGAGTGTTTGCAGTTAGTGTCTGTATATTCTACTCTATAATAATAATAATATTGATAATAATGATAATAATAACGGTTAATAATATTGATAGTAATCATCAATCATACATAAGCACATTGTGTTTATATATCAGTTGTTGTCTCGTGCACGACCATTGTAGTATTACGCGTGTAATAGTACGGAGCAGAGTGGATGGTTGATCTCATTTGGAAATGATGACGTTACTGGTGCTAATCTGTGATATGTCACAGCGAGTGATCGTGTTTGGGCCCGGTTGCCACGGAAACGGCCCCGCGCTCTAGGTTATTAAAGGGTCACTGTCCATCACTGTGATTTTCGGTGGAAGTGCCCAGAGATTTTATATTTCCGCGCGCGCGCGCACGTGCCTGGCGGCCCGGCGGTGCAGCACCGACTCCAATAGCATCGAGAGAGAAGACAGCAAGGCGGCGGCAGGGGCGGGGGAGGGGCGGACCCCCCGCGCCTACCTCCCACCCGCCCACAAGGGGCGGGGGTAGCAAGGTGGCGCGGATTTCTTGCGGTAGAGCGCGTGCGGGGGCGTGCGCGCGCGTGTCTGCGCATCTCCTCCCGGTCTCCGCTCCACGAACCACACCCTACTTATTTTCGGGGTCTGTATATGCATGCTGATTAGTTATTGATTTTACGAAGAGGACGCCGATGAAGAGGAAGAGGAAGAATGAGAGGAGGAGGAGGAGGAGAAGGAGAAGGTGGTATGGTGTCGCCCATACGCGGTTTACGTTGATTTCTCGTTCCCTCCCGCCATGATTCGCCGGGCGCCTGTTTTTGAGTTCACGACCTTCCTACCAGCAGACACCCGGGTCCGAGTTGAGACGAGACGCGGGTCGAGTCCGAGACGAGGTGAGACACGGTTTCGATTTTGGGTTAAGACTCCAGGTTCTGAGTCCGGGCTCTATCTCTGGATTCCGACTCCGGGCTCCATCTCTTGGTTACGACTCCGGGTCATGACTCCGCATTACAACTCCAGGTTCGTCGGACTTCAGGTTCTGACTCCGGATTCCATCTTCAGGTTCCATCTCCGGTCTCCATCTCTGGGAGAAGTTCATGTGAAGGCAGGCAATGATGGATCGTCCGGTCACCTCTGTGCAGTCTCGCCCCAACCGTGGGGGCCGTTGTCAGAAACCAAATATGTCTTAACATTGACGTTAACTATTCACAGTGACAGCCTGGTGCAAAGTGCGAGTTCTTCACCTGGTGACAGTGCGGTGACATCACAATGACAGAACGGTGACGTCAGACTGACAGCCCGGTGACATCACAATGACAGAACGGTGACGTCAGACTGACAGCCCGGTGACATCACAATGACAGAACGGTGACGTCAGACTGACATAATCCTACCCCTAACTTTCAGCTTTCCCCCCACCTTAACTCTAAACTTGCCCGTAACCGCTATACCTATGGTGATACGTCAGCCCTCACCTTGAGCTATTATTATACTGTGTTAGGTGTGAAACTATATATTATAATAGATCATACACCGGCATGGGAACAATGAGCGAGTAGACACGGCTGGCTGATGCAGCAGGGATAGTGTCTGACCGGACTCTAATTAATGAAGAAGATTCATGAATGCTAATCGCGTTATTAACCCTCCCCGCGCGCACGGGTTTACAAATAATTTGCAATTGTTGTTGTTGCTGTTGTTAATGGTGATGATGATGATGATGATTATGGTGATGATGATGATGATGATGACGATGGTGATGATGATGATGATGATGATGATGATGATGATGATGATGATGATGATGATGATGATGATTATGATGATGGTGGTGGTGATGATGTTTGTGGTGATAATGATTATGACGATGATGATGATGATGATGACGACGACGACGACGACGTTGATGATGACGACGACGGGGACGTTGATGATGACAATGATGACGACGACGACGTCAACAACAACGACAATGATGACGATTATGATGATGACAATGATGACGATGATGACGACAATCATGATGATGATAGAGCAATCATGCTATTTGCCCGGTGACAGCGATTCGGCCATCGCCTGCGGTTTTTGCCCATTCTCACTCTCTGCTCTCCCTTATCAATCCATCTGTCTGCGACATTTATCATTAACTCTGCGGACCTGCTGCCGCACTGAAGCTTTCACTGTCTGAAAAAAATATTAACGGATTTTAACTTCGTCTGTCTGCAACCAGGGGGGGGCTCTCGTCGCGTGGAAATCTGCTGCCCGGCAGTTTAATGAGAACGCGTGGTTTTACGGTGTCGTGTTTCGCGAAACTGCGCGATCGCAAACAATTCCCGAGGGCATGCGTTTAGTTCGAGCTGCATATATAATTACTAGGACGTAATTTTGTCGAGTACCTAGAAATGTGTAAGACTTGGCAAGCAATGCATTTTCCGTGTTTGATCTTGAATCGGAAAAATCCTCATTTTAGAAGTAATGACTTTAACTTACTTTAACTTAACTTGTGTTTTCTTTTCGCTTAATTATTATTTTATCTTCTACCTAGTAGATAATATTGACATAACAGACGACAGCTGATGGCAGACTGTGTGTATTATTACATGTGCTATGCCCGTGTGTTGTGACGACCATCCCCCCTCTTCCCTTGACGAGCCGTGAAACGTTGCTAAATAAAATCGCTAGTTAGAAAGTCGTAATTCCCCTATCATCATCGATTGATTTAATTTAGTGTGTAGCACTTTTTAATTTAAGATTTATTTAATTTAGCGTAGTAAAGTACAACTAGACCCCTGATGATATTACTATTACTACTCTAATTTTATCGTGAGCATGAGGTATTGCCATGGGGTGTCGTCCGTCGTACGTCCATCCGTCCGTCCGTCCGTCCGTTCGTTCGTCCGTCAACATTTGGCTACAGTCAACGATATCTCGGGAACCGTTTGA